TTTGAGTATCATGCCCTTGTTTTTAGCAGCCCCGAAATTTTAGCAGTAACCATCTATCGGCCACCAAAAAAGTGCAGCCGTTTTATCAATGAATTTTCAGAGTTTTTATCTTTTTTATACAATTCCTATAATAGGATTGTTTTAACCGGTGATTTTAACATCCACTTTGACAACCCATCAGACCATTTTACCTGCGAGTTTGTAAGTATTTTAAACTACATGGATTTTACTCAACATGTCAGACAGCCGACGCACAACAGAGGACACACCCTCGACCTGGTCATTACTTATGGCCTGAGTGCGGGTGTGTCCTCTGTTGTTGACCTGGCTATCTCTGACCACTATTGTGTGTTTTTTTAAATCACTGGTTTTGTTAAACAGGAGACCTCTGTGAGAACTGTGAAGAAACGACGTCTAACCCCTCAAGTGGCTGCAAATTTTATTGACATTCTAAATAACACTCCTCAGTTGGTTTTACCTGCCCCCTGTGATTTTATAGCAGATGATTTTAACAGTAGACTAAGAACTACACTGGATCAGGTTGCTCCATTAAAAATTGTAACCATTCAACAAAAATCTATAGCCCCTTGGAAAAATGAGGAAGCAAGGAGTATGAAAAGAGAGTGCAGAGTGGCAGAGCGAAGGTGGAGGAAAAATAAAACGACAATCAATCACCAAATATATAAAAACCAACAGAACGCAATCAGGAAAAACAGGAACAATTACTTTGCAGAACTAATCAGCCAGAACAAAAATAATCCAAAAATCCTCTTTTCAACCATCGACACCATTTTAAACCCTGATTTTAGCATGTCTCTTTTAACCCCCACAGACTCCCTCTGTCAGGATTTTGCAGTCCATTTCATGGGGAAGATAAATACAATCAGATGTAACATTTTATCCAACCGCACAACTGTTTTTAACACATCTGATTGTTTGTCTTCACCAGAGGAAACACTGGACAGTTTTGTCCTGGTTGATGCTGAGATGCTTGATAAAGTTTTCTCCTCAGTGAGGCCCACCACATGTCTTTTAGATCCAGTCCCCACTCCATTTTTTAAGTCATTTTATGAATCTTTTAGAGAGGAGCTTTTAAACCTGATGAATTGCTCTCTTCAGACTGAGGTCTTTCCTGCAGCCTTCAAAGCGGCTGTGGTGAGGCCCCTTCTGAAGAAGAGCAATTTGGATTTGAATGATTTTAACAACTACAGACCGGTATCCAACTTACCATTTTTAAGCAAAATTTTAGAAAAACTTGTTTTTACCCAGCTCAATGCCTTTTTAGATCAGCAGCAAATTTTAGAGAAATTTCAATCAGGATTTAGGGTGAACCACAGCATAGAGACTGCTCTTTTAAAGATTTTAAATGATTTTAGACTAAATTATGATTCTAAAAAGGTGACCGTGTTGGTTCTACTGGATCTTAGCGCTGCCTTCGACACAGTGGACCACACCATTCTTTTATCACGCCTACAACACCTCGGCCTCTCTGGTGCTGTCCACAAATGGTTCACTTCTTATTTAACAGACAGATCCTTCATGGTAAGTTCGGATACCTGCTCCTCTCAGGTTCATAAAATCACATGTGGTGTGCCCCAGGGTTCCATTTTAGGTCCAGTCCTTTTTAACCTGTACATGCTCCCTCTCGGTGGTGTCATCAGGAGACATGGAATTGACTTCCACAGTTATGCAGATGATACACAGCTGTACATCTCCATGTCTCCTGACGACACCAGGCCAATGGATGCTCTTTTTAACTGCATTTTAGACCTGAAATCCTGGATGGCAGAAAACTTTCTCCAGCTCAACCAGGACAAAACTGAAGTTTTAGTCATCGGTCCTGAGGCCCAGAGAGAGAAACTTTTACCGAAACTCCAATCACACTCTTTTAATCCATCATCACAAGTGAGAAACCTGGGCGTAATCTTTGACTCTGAGCTGACTTTTATTCCTCACATCAAGAACATCACAAAAATAGGTTTTTATCATTTAAAGAACATCGCCAGAGTCCGCCCCATTCTCTCTCGGGGCAACACGGAGACGCTGATGCATGCTTTTATCACCAGTCGCATTGACTACTGTAATGCCCTGCTCTCTGGTCTTCCCAAAAAGAACATTTCAGGTTTACAATTACTTCAAAACTCGGCCGCACGTGTCCTGACTAAGACCAGGGGGCGGGACCACATTACACCGGTTTTAAAACCGCTGCATTGGCTCCCCGTGTGTTTCAGGATCGATTTTAAGGTTCTTTTAATGGTTTTTAAATGTCTTAATGGTCTTGGGCCTTCTTATCTTTCAGATTTGCTTTTATACTATGAACCTTCCCGGCCCCTGCGCTCCTCCGGCAGCAGACTCCTAACCATCCCCAAAGTCAGGACACACACTCACGGCGAGGCATCTTTCCAGCACAACGGCCCCCGTCTCTGGAACAGTCTGCCGGAGGAGCTCAGGGCCGCAGAGAACGTTCATATTTTTAAGAGTAGGCTCAAGACGCACCTTTTTAGAGTAGCTTTTGATTAGTATTTATTATTTATTATTGCTTTTTAGTACATCTATTTATGTTTTTAGACACATTATATTTTTATTTATTTTTATTATTTACTATTTTTAATTATTTATTGTATCTACCAATTTACTATTGTTATTATCAATATTAGGCAGCTGCCATTTTTCTTTTTATTGTCACATTTTATTGTTCTACTTTCTATTGTATTATTGTATTGTTTTAGTGTCCCCAGTGTTTCCTCTGGAGGAGCCCTCTGCACTGGGAGCTGGGGTCTGCTGTGGCTTCGGGGGACTGGCTCTTGGATCCGGTGGGGGTCTGGGGCCTCCTCTCTCCTCTGGGTCCTATGGGGTCTGAGTCCTGGGCCTGGTGGGGTCTGGGGCCCCTCTCTCCTCTGGGTCCTGTGTCGTTCCCTGTGGCTGCAGCCGGCTCTCTGCTCCTGGTGCAGATGGCTCCTTGGATGACGCTTCTTCAGCCGGTTACATCTGCTCCCAGCCCCATTTCTTTTTATTGTTACCTATTTTACCTGATATGACTTTATACTTGTGTATGTGTGTGTGTGTATATGTGTCTGTGTGTGTGTATATGTGTGTGTGTGTGTGTATATGTGTGTGTGTGTATACGCATGTGGTTGTATATATAATTATAAATGTGGTTTTGGGGGGTCTGTGGGGAGGAGGGTTTAGGGCTGGGCATGTTGGATTGTTTTTAACTAAACTGTAAAGCACTTTGTGTTACACTTTTTGTATGAAAAGCGCTTTATAAATAAAATTTGATTGATTGATTTGATTGAAGTAACAGAATCAGGTAAGTTGGTCTGCATGGCTTTGACTGTTGAGTTGGTAGTTGATTGGTGCAGGTGTGTAGCTCCACAGGTGCGGGTGACGAGGTGCCTCTCAGGTAGGGAGGAAACAGGAGGAGCTGAGGGATGAGCTGCAACACTGGAACAATTATTTGGTTTAGATTATTTTAAACTAAACGACCTGGTTAAAACAGAATTTTTTGTGTGGAAATTGTTGCATTTATTAATATATGACAAAATGAAATCAATTAAAATGACAACTGATTCAGAGGACTATCAATCAATCAATCAATCCTTTATTATCTCACACAGATGGAGAAATTCAGTTTGATGAATAAACATCAAGGCCGGCCGCGTACTCTAATTTTCCGCGCTCCTTATGACAGTTATCCAACAGCAGAGAGCAAAACAGACACATATTTCAACAAACATGGGAGAGACACGGTACATGTGGAAAACAAGCGGATCTTTTTAATGGGAAGTCCTCACTCTGGCCCGCCTCGTCCAATATAGCGCGTCAGAGGGGAGTGTGGGTGGGGGAGGTGGAGGGGAAGACCACCATAGACTGAAAAGAGAGAGAGGCAGACATGTAGAAGGGGGGGGGGGACTGTAACTGGTGTTATGGGTTGTGAGTCTGAGTTAGATAGAGTCCAGTGTTGGCCTTGAGTGGCCGGTGCGGTGGTGGAATGTGAAGGACAAAGATAGCGCAGGTGCCTGCAAACGTTGGAGACAAAACAACACATGCCTTTGTGGGAAATTTGTATAAGCACTTTAGCTGTTCAATGAAAGGCAGTGTACACTAAAGCCAATATGTCCAAATTATACTGGAACTGGACCCCTCCGTTCATCGTTATCCGGAGTTGACCACGTCAGTACGAGGTTCCACCGTGAGGCCCAAGTCCTTCAATCAATTCTTCCACGCGTTTAAGTCCATCCAAAGATCTCACTCCCAGGTCATTAAGGGAATGTTCAATCCGAGTCACACCCCGTTGTGTCCCCACTGTGCCCTCGACCACGACTCTGACCAACTCGCGGAAACTCTCCTTGTTTTCCGCGGACAGCCGCTCGTAAATCTTCTGAGTGGACAGCCCTCCAACTTTGCGGTAGATCAAGCCAACTCCAAATCCAATCAGGAGGAACCCTGCTACCATAAATCCAAAAATGTATATATCCTCAATGTCCTCGATGGACAGTCCCGACAGACAAACGGGGTGCCACTTTTGCCAGTTGTCAAAAACGTACCCAGCAGCCGCCGTACCATCCGGGCAAACGGCATCTCCAGAACCGCCTTTACGTGATGAAAAAATAGTATCAATTGCGTTGAGGGACCATCATTCATGGTCATTCCATCATTTTTAAGTTGTACACAGGCAGAACTCTAGGAAAAAAGACAGTCAGGGCAAGCAGAGCAGGAGCAGGCAGGAGACACGTCTGACCTCGAGGAGAGCAGGAGGAGGAAGGTCTCTCTCTGGTCCCTTTCTATGGTCTCTCTCTGGCAGTGGCAGAGCCACATGGGTAGTTGGGGTGGCAATTGACACCCCAAAGAAAGTCATGGCTACCCCCAGTCCCACCCCGCTGAAAGTATTGCACTTCTGAAATTTTATGAACATTGCCGGAGAAAAGTGTCTAATTTCCGAGTACAAGTGAAATGCATCTTTGGGGAGCACGCTGCTTCGGCAGGTGCCGTGGCTTGTCATGGCTGCTCCTCCAGACTTCCCGGACCATAGCGCTTCTGTACCCGGCTTCAAGAGTCTGCGCGCGGACAGAGACAAACTCCTCAGCGGTAAGAAGAAGAGCGGCGGGATTGCAATCTATGTGAATGAGCTGTGGTGAAATTCTGGCCACATTACTGTGAAGGAACGTGTCTGCTCACGGGACATTGAACTCTTGGCTGTGGGGATACGTCCGTATTATCTACCGAGGGAATTTACTTCAGTCCAGTTTATTGGAGTCTACATCCCGCTCTCAGCGGATGAGGCTGCTGCGTGTGAGAGGATACATGCCACTGTTGCAGGACTCCAGGCCAAACACCCAGAGGCTCTCATTCTTATATCTGGTGATTTCAACCATGTTTCATTGGACACAGTTTTTCCCACATTTCATCAGTTTGTGGAATGTACAACCCGGAACAATAAAACTCTGGACTTGTTGTATGCCAACACTAAGGAGGCATACAGTACCACTGCCCTGCCTCCACTGGGAAGATCGGACCATAATCTTGTGCTGTTGTCACCACAGTACGGCCCTACAGTGAAGAGGCTGCCCTTTCTCCACAAGGATTTTGAGGAAGTGGAGTCAGGAGGCCACTCAGGCTGTGCAGGACTGCTTTGAGACCACAGACTGGGACATGTTCTTCCAGGTCCATGGTGATGACATTGACACTCTGGTAGATTGCACTACAGACTTCATTAACTTCATTAAACAACAAGCCCTTTATCACCAGCCACATGAAGGTCCTACTACAGGCCACTCAGACAGACAATCTCCAATCCACACCTAGAGCCTCCTTGACCAGCACCTCTGCTCCCCCACACACCCCGACAGAGTCCCTCATCACTCTGACAGTTGGCCAGGTCAAAAAACAGCCGGGTAAAGTCAGAGAGAACAGGTCCCATGGACCGGACAAAGTCAACCCCGCGTCCTGAGGACCTGTGCTGCCCAGCTGACTGGAGTCCTGCTCCATCTTCAACCTGAGTCTGAAGCTAGAGAAGATTCCGGTGCTATGGAAGACCTGCTGTATAGTACCGGTTCCAAAGAGGCCCGTACCATCTGGCCTCAATGACTTCAGACCAGTGGCTTGCCAGAATTTTAAAATAGTCTGGCGGACTATTTTGAATGTATATGAATACATTTTACAGTGTATTCAGTTTTTGACAGCAGCAGCGCTCAGACCTACAAACCCAACATTTCTGTGATCACACTTTAGCAATTGTGACTGCAGGTAAGTAATTATTTATTTATTTATATACCGCCTTTCTCAGACCAGAGTCACAAAGCGGTTTACAATTGTTATTTATGAGCATTTGTCTCTTACTCCACACAGAGATGGGAGCGGGGTCGCCCGTACAGGATGCCAGACCTATTTTACATATTTTTAGTGGTAGGGGAAACCGGAGTGCCCGGAGGAAACCTACGCAGACACAGGGAGAACATGCAAACTCCACTCAGAAAGGCCCTGTTCCGACTGGGAATCGAACCCAGGACCTTCTTGCTGAGAAGCAAGAGTGCTATCCATTCAGCCACCGTGCCCCCCCGTACTTATAAAAGTGTATAAAATGTGTGGTGAGGGGGTTTACAGCTTGGGCAAAAAACGTACTGCTGATTCTTAACGCGGGTTGCTTTTTAGAACACACAGCAGTAAACCATGGAACCATGGGGACATGTCCCCACCAATATTTGGTGAGGACTAAAAAGTCCCCACCAAAATGACATGATGTCCCGTGACCCGGACGGTCCGGGACACATGTCTTCGGTTTGTGCACACGTCGCGCCTCCTCCTCGCCTCCAGAGCAACAGCAGCAGCAGCAGCACGTGACCCGTTCCGTTCTCTGCAGTGATTGGCTGTCTTCTTCAGCGCCAAACTGAAGCACTGAGCAACTGTTTAATTTTTAAAAGTTAGCCAGCGTGAAGCAAGTGTTTTTTTTTATTCCCTGAGCGTTGTAGCACGTGAGTAATCAGAGGAAAGTACTGTAGATCTATTACCATTCAAAGTACTTACGTTATTTCTAATCTGTCAGCGCGCTGTTTAATGTTCCGAGGAGCTCACACGGCATACAGAGACAGAACAGAACTGGCTCCAATGAAGAAACAGGTTGGTTGAAAGGCTGAAAAAATACTTATTGTGCTCTTACTATCCAAAATGTATAAGTGGGTGTGTTGCGTGAATCAGGATAAACTAGGGATGAAAGTATTCCACGGATCCACGATTTACAACCTTTATCTGCTGATAATGTAATTTCTGTGAAATGTGTGACAGCGGGCACTTGCTGTTATTTGCTCTAAGCACATTCAAGCGATGCACTCGAATGTGCACGTCCTGGTGCAGCTGCTGCCGCTTTGTAATGACAGCCGCGGCGCTCAGTGAAAGCACAGCTCTAACATGGTACCGAGCTCGGACCATATGCAGACAGAACCATGTTGCAAGTGCAGGTCTCCCTCGTATCTCCCCCGTTTCTCCCCTGTGTCTCTGACATGTCTCTCCCCTGACTCTTCCCAAAGCGCAACCAGCGCTCCCAAAATTAAAGCTCGGATACCTAAATTTTCCATTGCGTTAACGATGCATGCTGGTTGTGCGCAAAACACACCACAACAGGTCATTTAAGTTTTTATTTTGCATACTTGAGAGCCCTGTGAGTCATTACTTGCCTTTTTGGGTTGAGAGTGGAAAAAAAAAAAGAAAATATAGAAAAATCCACACTGTTACTTATTGCCAAACTCTTGTTAACTCATTGTATTGAGAAATATTATGTAACTTTTGACATTGGCCAAGTTATATAAATGATTCTGCAGTTCATGTATATGAATGTCTGTTTTTGATTGTCTATACCTTCTTATATAATTTAGAAAAAATGCCACCTCCACAAAAAAAGATAAAAGATAAAGAGCTTTTTTAACAGTTGGAAAGTAAGTAAGAGAAAGCACAAGTAATAGCAAATTATGAATTGTGATGATTAATCTTCTGTTAACATACATAGGAAACTCAACCAACAAGAGAGAACAATATAGGGAATGTTGAGGTAGAAGCAACAGGCCCTTCAGTGCATCAGGCGAGGTTGGAATTTTGTAGGTATGCATGGGACTATGAATTGTTTTTAGAGATTGATCGTATATGTCAAACAATGTAGTGAGCTAGTCACTGTAGATTCTAATTCAATATTTTCTTCTCTGTTTTTATTTATTATAGGGAAATTGAAAGATCAGAGCATGATTTATTTCAAGTATCGAGAGCAGTTCCTGAACTGTTAGAGCCTCAGGTGAGGGCTATTAAGTAGATTTGGATTAGGTTTAAGTCAGTATAGAATCATACTAAAGTTAAAGAACATCATTTGGTTGGAAATTACCTATGCCAATTACAACATATTTTACTACTATAATGATGCAAAAAGTGTTGTCTGAAATCTTTTACTAAATATAGGACACTCTGAGAGATATAATGGAAATTCAAGAAGGAGATAAAGACAAGGACAAGACAGGACTCCAGGTGAGGTTAGGATTAAGCAGTTAAAATCTTAGACCCATCAACCAATTCTAGTTTCATGAGATATTTAGCGACTGGTGTACCATGCCTAGGTTTCATTTTATTCAATGTAGAATGTGTGTTTTTATTAATACCATAAAGGAAAGTCAGACAAACAGGGAATGTGCAGTGCTGGTAGAGGATGAGGAAGTGGCTGGACCTTCAGGGCTTCCGGTGAGGTTGAAAGTGTTTATTTGGTTTTGTTGGTGGTAGAAGGCAACACACTATTGCAAATATAGTGTGTGATTACACAACAAATTCTGGGGGAGAAACTCTGGACCCCGTGTCAATGGGTGTAGACTCAGGTCGTAGTGAATGTCCCCACCAAGATTGGAACCAAACCTACACCATTGCATACAGTACAAACTTCAAACTTTACAAATCCATCCACTCACGTTTTCTACATCCCAAGGGGCCATTTGTTAGTGTGAGCTTGTGTAAACAGTGTGTGTCTACGTGAGCATACTGCGGGGGTGAGCTGGTGTGCAGACAGTTATCTGAGCTGCTCTCCTCTACCGGAGCATCCCCGCTCCATCTGTCCCTCTCGCACTAATTGAGGCTTCCTTTCTTGTGTGTGTGAGTTGCTCTGCGGTTGCCAAGCGTCTACCTTCACTAATTGTGTGAGAAAAGCGTCCTTATTTCTTCTCATTGAGAGCGTGCGATCTTGTCTCGGCTGAGTAGAGCTCTTTTACTCACTGGGAGGACATGAAAGCGATCCTTATGGTCCTTCTCTTTCAGCGTGGCCACTCGGAACGGCACTCTGCAGCCCTCAACATGCAATTAATCAACTCTTGTCTTAAGAGGCACTATTTATACCAGATCATGCACACTGGGCTCTGCCAGGGCCAACTCCAGTTCTCTTCCACATCCAGTGCTCTGCCACCACCAGGGCTCTGCCACCATCAGGGCTCTGCCACCACCAGGGCTCTGCCACCACCAGGGCTCTGCCACCACCAGGGCTCTGCCACCACCAGGGCTCTGCCACCACCAGGGCTCTGCCACCACCAGGGCTCTGCCACCACCAGGGCTCTGCCACCATCAGGGCTCTGCACTATCAGGGCTCTGCCACCACTCGAGCTCGGCCACCTCAAGGGCCAACTAAGAGGAGGAGGGAGAGAGGAAACATCCATGACTGCATCTTTTAACCCTCTTAGGGCCCAATTAAATTTGAATGACAGAACAAATCTCATATTTGGGAAGTTTATCACGGGGTAGTAATATATACAATCCTGACGATTTTGAGAGAGACTTTCACAGGAAATGCACTCTGGGATGTTGAACATTTGCAACATTGACCCACTGTGGTAAATACAGTTAATTAGCAGGTACTGTAAATATATTCATCTTTCATTTTATACTGTTTTGGTTTCAAATTAATAGAGGTTGGTGATGATAATGACTTGAAATTGATACCAAGAAAATCTATTTTGGTGAAACCATGGAAATTGACATTTTGGAAGTGAGACAGCTCTGCTCCCTGGTGAGAAGGTGGAATTTTAAAGCTCATCTAAGTCCAGCAGTGTTTCTTCTCAGTAAAAAAAGTGTCAAAAATATGGATGTGGAGTAGTTAGGCAGTAGCTAGGTAATATGAAATGAAGTTTCATCTACATTCCATGAATTGGAGTCTAAAAATATGACACACATTTGAGAATGTACACTATGTGCTACAGCCGTATAGTGTAAATAGCGTATATTGATAATGAAAGCTGGTTTTCTCTCAAGCATCACATCTTGAATATCAACACGATACTTTCTAAATGCCCCCATCATTAGTGCTTATTCAAGTGATGTCACATACTTTTCTAATTCAAATGCAAGCCTCTAAACACCAGTGGTGTTTACTGTAGATGTTTACATTTGACACGACCAAAGAAGATCTGCTCAAATTCATTGAAGATTTAGCTGGGGTGTTGAAACTGCAGAGGGACAAAGATGTATTGTATTATCTGAATGATCAGATATTACATATCCATCTGATACCTCTGTCATTCTCTAGTCACCTTTATCTGTTGATATTATTACTGATGTTTATTCTGCTCATATTCTCCGCTGCTTAAGAATAATATACACATCTGTAAATACTCATGAACCAAGTGCAATTATAGCTCCAGAGTTTATTTTATTTTATTCTTCATCTTATTTTTAATTATATAGTCTATTATCTTAAATAATAGACTATTTGATGTGTGCAATCTGAGCACTTTACACAAACATTTGACTTCAGTGTCTTAATTCCTTTGTATTTAAACTTTTAAAAAATTCACAGACTTTATGTCCTCCATCTTGGATTGCTTTCGCTGCTGCCTGAGACACGCATGAGAAGGCAATGCAAACCCGACGTAACACCGGCGATCCTGATTGGCCATTTATTTTTTGATCTCCTAGGCCAGGGGTGCTCACACTTTTTCAGCATGCGAGCTACTTATAAAAGGATCAAGTCAAAATGATCTACCTACTACAAAAATGCAAATCATATATTTATTTCAAAAAATATTCTTTATATCTACAATGTATGTTTATGTACATGCAAAACAGCATGAGCCAATATAGCACAACACAACACAATTACCTATGTAAATTTTTTGTCATTACCCGAGTTTACTCTTATGACTTGCACTGAATTGAATCGGCCAGGGATGCATAGTCCGGAAAATTGGTGGTAACTCGCTGACAAGTTTGTCGTGGTTTAGCTTTCCTGCACTGAGCGCGGTTGTTTGCGCATGTGCAGTCACCTAAGTGTCAGTAAAACATTACTGAGTAAAACACAGATGTCATTTGACTGTGGTGCCATGTCCATGTGCCATGCCTGTTTTTTTAAAATCCAAATATTTCCCCTCCTCCGTTTATAAAATAATTTGCATCCACACATCTGCGTTATAAGCCACGTTCGTAACATTCCAAACATGTGCGTCTCTGTCCTGCGTTGGGGAAAAACACAGAAGTGGGCGGAGTTCTGATGCAGACGCCGGTAACGGCACTTTTACAGTCATAGAAGACACTCAGAGTAAAGAGTAAGACGTATGTTTAGTAAGTAATTAAGTAAGTAAGTAATCTTTATTTATATACCGCCTTTCACAGACCAGAGTCACAAAGCGGTTTACAATTGTTATTTTTTGGGCATTTGTCTCTCACTCCACACAGAGATGGGAGGGGCCAGTACAGGAGGCGCATGCCAGAACTATTGTACATATTTTTAGTGGTAGGGGAAACCGGAGTACCCGGAGGAAACCTACGCAGACACGGGGAGAACATGCAAACTCCACTCAGAAAGGCCCTGGTCCGACCGGGATTCGAACCAAGGACCTTCTTGCTGAGGGGCGAGAGTGCTATCCACTCAGCCACCGTGCCGCCCAACCGTTTACAAGCACTGACCCCGTCCTCAGCCCTGGTTTAGTCCTGGTTTAGTCCTGGTTTAGTCCTGGTTTGGTTGTTTTCGAGCGTCCCCGCGATCACTTTGCTGCTCTCTGATGTGGAGGATGTTTGCTGCTGCGAGCATCTCACAGCGGACAGTTTTTAAGGTCGTATGATCCATGCTTCAGTGATCAGAGGAATTTAGGGGGGTACTGTGGCGTGCGAGAACGCAAAACTCTGGTTATCTCTGTCTACACACACATGCATTAACGGAGTTTTCAAAAATCTCCACTTTGCCCGGAGTTTTTTGTATATATTCGTTTAGAATGTGTAATTTTTTTTTATTTAATGCGATCTACCAATACTACCTTTGCGATCGACTGGTAGATCGCAATCGACGTATTGAGCACCCCTGTCCTAGGCTCTCGATCCCAGACCGTTGTGTTCAGCCTGGGGTCTGGTGAGAGTCAGGCTAGCAATTCCAGGCTATTCAGGAAGTTTCCCCATAGACCTAAATGAGTCATCATATGTGGCAGGGCGTGGCGGATACGCGCTCCTAAAATAATATAACAAACAAATAAAATACGCAAAAAGACCAACAACGCCAGGGCGCCCAAAATAAATAAAAAGCGCACTAAGGTGCTCAGGATTGTTGACCATAATTGGAGGCATAGGCAGACATGTTTTGAATGAATGTTTTTTTTATTTGAACATTTGAGATGAAAAAACCCCAAAATAAAAGCAATGTAATCATACATAGATTATGCAAAAGAATAAGCAATTGATGTCCATAATAGGAGTGGGAAGAAAGAATCCCGCACACTGTTTTACTTGCAAATTAAAAATGTTTTTTTTGAAGTGCGACGACGTTTCGGCGTTATGCCTTCATCGAGCAAACACGTTTGCTCTCTCCCTATCACATTAGACTATACAGGCCTCTCCTCCAACGCACCCGATCTGTAGGTATTGATGTGCCAATCCCTACTCCATCCAGAAATGGATGTTGGAACATAGTTCTTCAGCGTATCAACATCAGGGTTTCCTCCAGAGCAGCCATTCCCAAAGTCTTGACTTATGTCTTTTTTTTGAGCATTCACATAGAATGTGATGTTATATAGCTAAATACAAACAGATTCTGCCCAAACCCAGGACACCGGGGTAACAGCGCTATGGCTTGCCCATTATACCACCATTATAAGTGCAGTCAAGGGATATAGTTTGAACTGTTAAAGAAGCAAGTTTTGCATGACACGAAAAGTTTTTATCCGCTTTCTCAATTTTTCAAAGGCGTCCCGATATAAATCCTCGTTTTAGTCTTTGTTTTGTCATATATGTCATATATATTGATTTGAGAGTCATAATAAGAACTTTTTTAGTTCTGCGGCCACATGTTATTTTACCAGTGAGATTAGCTAGCCGCGGGGAGTTCTGGCAACCCGGATGTCGGTCTTTCTGATTGGTGAAACGGCAGAGGGTGGGACATCAAAATGAAAACAATAACAACTTTTATGGGTCGTAAAACTAATTTTGATTTTCAAATATCTCGGCTAATTTCCTGTTGTTAGTAAAAGATGTATTCGAAAAGAGCATGATTTAATAATGCCTTTTGAAATATTGGGGCCATTTAATGATGACTTGACATGCAAATATAACATAATGCTACTTTAAGGCAGGTCAGAATTATCCAAACAGTTTCTCAAAATGGATTCCACAACAGCAAAAAATGTATAAAAATCCCTATTACTGTAACTAACACTGCTTTCGTTTCAGTGCCGTTTCTTTGGGAAATCTTTCCTTAAGAGGCAGATCTGGAAGCCACACAGATGAGCATTAGAGGAATAGAGCCTTACCCTTGTTCTTGAAAAGAGGTGTGGGGTGGTTCAGCGTGTGGCAGTGCTCCAGTTTGGTCCCAGGCACTCGCGATAGCTGTGGCCTTATTCAGCCTGGATTAGCCCAGAGAAGCTCCGTGACATAAGCCAGGCTCCTGCAGTGTGTGGCTTTATGTGGGAGGCCATTGTGCAGATCTACGGCTGCACACAATGAGGCTCTGGCGGATGGATGGAGAGGATGGAGAGGATGACACCACAATGGAAGAAGACTGTCTGAGAACACTAATGTGGTCAAGTCTAACATTGCGGAGGAACAACCAGCAGACACTCCACTGTGCAGCAGACACCAAGACAAGTGTCTGTACATGGTCCAAATATTTACAGCTCTCTTGCATATGTGTTTTATGAAAGGGTGTGACCATTTACCTAAATATTCACATGCTAATTCTGTAGAAGGAAGTAAAGCTGAATTTTAAGTGGAATAATGTACTGTATGAACTATTAAAATGGCCTTCCACAAGAGCATTTAACAACATGGAGCTTTAGACAGGAGCTCTGTTCGAAACGCTAGTCAGTGAAGGCCTCTGCATGATGCGGCTCAAGGCAAACGTGTGTGTATGTGTTTGTGTGTATGTGTATGTGTGTGTGTGAGAAAGCGTACGTAAGTGTGTGTGTCTCTCTGTCTCTGTTTAATAGCAGCAGTCTAAAAGCATCTCTGAGTCAGATTTCACATCATTGATATCTAGCTATAACATGTCTGTCTCATAATTTGCTTTTCTCAGTGTAACCCCTGTACAGTATCCAAACCTTTTGTAGATGTCTATGAACTGCACCATATTTCAAACAAAATGCTTCCTTACCATCTTGGGGCAGAGATGTACAGCCTCTAATAATTCATTTGTGCGGGTTTCCGCTTCAGAAAAAGGTTGGATTGTAGAAGTGAAAAATTATAAAGGAACGGCAGCAGAAGGCGTCTGATGTTACTAAAGTGGAGTTTTATAATAAATGCAGAGAATTGTGTGGGCTGTAAGATAAAGACCGAAGCTTTGTACGCAACATTACAAAGTTATTGACAGAAGAGACAACAGCCAGAGAAAAGAGCTCTATTGTATTCATGAACCACGAGCTGGTGTGAAGCCAAACCCTGACTCTGACCCTGACATGACGATCACACACACATCTGCCTGATGTCTTATCTGGAAGATGCAAACGTCACAAAACCTCCTCATTCTCAGACCTGGAGTTGTTTTTTAGCTTCATCCCCTCTGCCCTTTAAAATAAATATGTTTGTCTCTACATTAGTTTTGGAGTTTCTACAGTTTCTATATGTATTTTCGATATGCTTTCACTGGATGCCCCATGATAACATCATTCAACACTTCTACCCGTAGTTTCAGGTTAGTTTAGTACAGATCATCCATCCATCCATCAATAATAATAATAATAATAATAATAGACCAGGGTTCTCTGACATGTGACCAGGGTCTGTGATAGGACCAGGCAGCAGACCAGAGGAAACAAGACCAGGTTCTAGCTGTGGAACTCTCTTTACCTTTGCAGAGAACTGAACTATCGCTTGAGCACTTTTCTCTTTTGCTTTCAATACCAGGGAGGGAGAGACAACATTTTCTTCTTTGTAGATATTCTTATTTTTCGTATTTATCTGTGTTTTTGTTGTTGCTGTGGTGGCTTTGGTGGCAATAGGTTGTGTACAAATAAATATTGATTGATTGATACATTTTATGTATACTTAGAGAGTATATTTGACTGGAGAAGTTGATATTATTGGAGCTAAAACAACTCCATCTCTGTTTTAATGAGAGAACAACTTTCAAAAAGCCAAAAACTAGCGAGACTGTTTTACGTCTTGTGCTCGCTCTGTTTGAGGCTGAATCCTGCGGCTGACCTGAGCGTGACATAACAAGGGAAGCGGCCACCTGCACACGCTCCACGCTGGGAGTCACTCACCGTTTCACCGTGGGCTCTGGCTCTCCCTGCTCTGGTTCCTCATTACTGGATGCAAAAGGCAACGCGCTCTTCTCCCCGCGGCTGGCGGTCCCACTGGGCTCCCGCAGCTGCTTCTGGAGATTTGCAGGGCTTACTTTGAAATCTTGAGTCGTTTATGCAAATCCCAGGCCGTTTGGTCTTCCATTGCCTCTGTCCCTCATCTGATCCTGCTTTCTGTAGGCTAAAATGGAAGTGGGTTCTCCCAAGCGGGCCAAGACTGCAGCTGACCCGCACCAGGCGCTCACTGCACCACCGCCTTCAAAGCCTAAGGGTGGAGGAAAGTTTTAATGAACCAATACTTGTGGGGATAAAACAGGAGCAAAATGTGGTTATCAATACACAGAAACATAAGTGTGCGTTTTTCTGGAGGTGTTCGTGACAGCTCTGACCTGTTAGTCCAGGGGTTTCAAACTCAATTTTTCTGGGGGCCACATGAGGTTGAGTCTGGGTGGAGCTGGGCCGCATTAAGGGGTATATTTATGTGTGTGCGCAAAATACGTATATGAACATTGGAGGTAACAGATCTTTGCACATGCACCGCACACAGTTTATCTGCTGGATTAATACAATATACTGTTACATTTTTATTAATCTCCTCATTCTTTAACATCACTCAGAGAGAAAGTAAGTGCTTGCTCTCGGAGAACAGAGACAAATACAAGAAAACCAAAAATCAAGCGTTTGTGGAAAGTTTTATTGTTCACTGTTTTTATCTGTGACTTTTTATTATCAAGAAAGAACTTTGACCAAATAATTTTATTCAATATGATTTTGACATAATCTTTACAAGTTTCTGTGAACAAAATAAGTCCAGCTGCTTAGATTGAAACAAAAGTGGATGAAACGCAATGAGGCGCTGTATTATAGACTGGGTTTAATAATGTTTACTTTAAATTATGGCTTATTGCATTCAGGGTTCATTCATTCAGGTTTGATCTAAATCAAATGAGCCCCGTTTTCAACAGCCCTACTCTACTCTGCTCTACTCTGCTCTGCTCTGCTCGCCAACACAGATCAGAGAATCAAACAGTTCTAACACAAAGAATAGAGAACACGTAAGTATTGGTCCATAGCGGGGAGTTGACCAATGTCCATCAGTGTTGGTAAATGTCCATATATGTTGTAGAACGTTAATGTGTCCTGGATCATCACCAGTCAGTCCTTTTTGTTAGACCCTCTAACAGTCTAACAGACCCTCCTGCATCGGCAAATGCAGGAGGGAGGAAAAACTGTAAAACCCGGTGGGAGAAAAGTGAGAACGTCCACATTGAGAGAGGGATCCGCTCCCATGAACGAACGAGCTATATAGATCCAGGACTCAAGCCACAGAACGACGACAGGTGCGATGCAGTACTGAAGCAGCTCCCAGGCGGGGAGGGGGTGCAGCCCACGAGTTGGGCCAGACAGGGCAGTCCGCAGATGCAGATGGAGGGGACCGGGTTCAGGGGTCCCATAATTAGCAATGAACAGACTACAGACAAAATCCTACTTTACAGTTTACCAGAATCTACTTGGCTCTGTTCTGGTAACATTTCCATTATGCTTACACAACATACCAGTTCCCCTCGAAATTCTGTGGTAACCCTGGCATCCAACATCACTCTGCCCAAAAACTGCCAGTTATAACACTTTAGTACGAGAGACGACTGCTGTTGTGATTCAGGGCAATAGACAAATACAATTCATGAAAAGAGAATTAAAATGTTTTGATATTTCTAATGATCCACAGGTGCCAGAGATCTATGAGACAAACCACAGTCTCTATTTGGACTTTTGCTGGTGTTTTCAGAGCAGCTAAATGAAACCTGCCCTTATTGAAGATAAAGTCTATTTTTATAACTTCAACACCATCGGAATCAACAGCAGTGGACTCCAGATTAATTGTAGCGAGAGGAGGAGGCGGGTGGAGTGGTGTGGGAGCACGCGATCGAGCGGGTAAGCCTGGGATGTGAGTGTGTGGAAACAAAAGGGATCTCCAGCCGTGAATCAGCGCCGGGCCTTTGATTCCTGCCCCGGCTTCTCTCCCAATAATGAGCTCGTCTAATGGTGGTGTGAATGTCAGCTCCCAATGCGCGGCGGGCGTGGGCGAGCAGAGCCAGGCCGTGCGCAAACTCTCTTATGGAAGCAATTACAGCAAATGTGGCTGCTCGCTAACTAATCATCTTTACCCAGGCCGAGCCGCGGGAGCAGGCAGCGAGCAGGTGTGGGTTCGGATGCAGAATATTGCCAAAATAGAGCACCGGCCGGAGGTAATGCGGGGTGAGGTGAGGCAAGGTATGCACAAAAATATATATAAAGACGTAATAGAGCCGCGGGCAGCAGGGAAACACGCAGGAGCAGAGGTTCACCTGCTCCAGACAGGAAAGAAAGCAGAATATAATTAGAATATAGTGTGTGGATGTGTCCTGGGCCAGAGATGTTAATAAAACATGTCAATAGTACAGATGATAATAAAATGAGACCTGTAACTTTCACATCCTCTGCTTCTTCTCCATTCTCAGAACTGGTGGTTGTTATGAGCCAGGGTTGTGGATTAGCAGACAGTATGTAGTAATAAAATGCAACTTTTGAGAGCTTTACAACAAAAAACTCCCACATTCTTGTTGTGAGGTATACGACTATAATACCTGTTTTATATTATTGTCAACTTCAGTGCAGCAACAACTGTTATTACACAAGCTGCGTGTGTGCTGTGTGGTACTGTTATCCCTGTATTCTGACACATTGTAATTAGCGCCGTCAACTAACTTCTCTTTGATCACGCTGAAGTTTGTCAAGCAAACTTCTTCGAGTTTGAACAAACATCCTGTGGTTTCTGTTAAACATGTGTGTCTGTGTGTGTGTGCCTGTGTTAGTTTGTCAGTTTCTGTGTGTGTGTCCATGTGTGTGTTTCCCTCAGCAGATCTCGCTCATCTCTTGTCTCTAATTATTAAACATGGTCCCCAGATTTATAGCTATAGACTAAAACATACTTTAAGTTGTTTTTCTGATGGGGGTCGCTCCTATTTGTTGCCATGGTGACAAGGATCTGGGCTTCATTTGTATGTTTTCACTCAGGTTTTGGTCACACGCTTTGGTGTAGACCAAAACCTGAGTGAAAACATACAAATGAAGCCCAGATCCTTGTCACCCGCTTTGGTGTAGGGCTCGGTGCAGAGAGGACTGGGCAGCAGTCGAAGGCGGAGACCTCGGCGACCCAGTCCGCACACCCAACATCTGGCTCTTGGGACGTGGAACGTCACCTCACTGGGGGGGAAGGAGCCCGAGCTTGTGGGGGAGGTCGAGAGGTACCGACTAGAGATAGTCGGCCTCACCTCCACACACAGCTTGGGCTCTGGAACCCAACTCCTTGAGAGGGGTTGGACGCTCCACTTTTCTGGTGTTTCTCGCGGGGAGAGGCGGCGAGCTGGGGTGGCCATACTCATTGCCCCCCATCTCAGCCGCCACGTGTTGGAGTTCTCCCCGGTGAATGAGAGGGTCGCGTCCCTCTGCCTTCGGGTGGGGGACAAGTCTCTCACTGTTGTGACGGCCTACGGGCCTAACAGCAGTGCAGAGTACTCGGCCTTCTTGGAGTCCTTGGGAGGGGTACTGGACGGTGCACCGCCCGGGGACTCCGTCATTCTCCTGGGGGACTTTAACGCCCATGTGGGAAGCGCCAGTGACACTTGGAGAGGGGTGATTGAGAAGAATGGCCCCCCTGATCTGAACCCGAGTGGTGTTCAGTTGTTGGACTTCTGTGCTAGTCACGGTTTGTCCATCACGAACACCATGTTTGAGCACAAGGGTGTCCACCAGTGCACGTGGCACCAGGACACCCTAGGCCGGAGGTCGATGATCGACTTTGTTGTCGTATCATCTGACCTTCGGCCGCGTGTTTCGGACACTCGGGTAAAGAGAGGGGCGGAGCTGTCAACCGATCACCACCTGGTCGTGAGTTGGATCCGCTGGCAGGGGAAGAAGCCGGTCAGACCTGGCAGACCCAAGCGTGTAGTGAGGGTCTGCTGGGAACGTCTCGCTGAGACCCCTGTCAGACGGACTTTCAACTCACACCTCCGGGAGAGCTTCTCCCAGGTCCCGGCGGAGGAGGGGGCTATTGAGTCTGAGTGGACCATGTTCTCTTCCTCTACCGCCGATGCGGCGGCTCGTAGCTGTGGTCGCAAGGTCTCTGGTGCTGGTCCCGGCGGCAACCCCCGAACCCGGTGGTGGACACCGGCAGTAAGGGATGCCGTCAGGCTGAAGAAGGAGTCCTATCGAGCCATGATGGTTCGGGGGACTCCTGAGGCAGCTGTCCAGTACCGGCAGGCCAAGCGTGCCGCGGCCCGGGCTGTTGCAGAGGCAAAAACCCGGGACTGGGAGGAATTCGGAGAGTCCATGGAGCATGACTATCGGTCGGCCTCGAAGAGATTCTGGCAAACTGTCCGGCGCCTCAGGAGGGGGAAGCAGTTCTTTGCCAACACCGTGTACGGTGCGGGGGGTGAGCTGCTGACCTCGACCGGGGATATTGTCGGACGGTGGAAGGAATACTTTGAGGTTCTCCTCAATCCCCCCGTCACGTCCTCCGCTCCGGAGGCAGAGGCTGAGGATGTTGGGGCGGATACTTCTGTCACCCTGGCAGAGGTCACCAAGGTGGTTGGCAGCCTCCTTGGTGGCAAGGCGCCGGGAGTGGATGAGATCCGTCCTGACTATCTAAAGTCTCTGGATGTTGTAGGACTGTCTTGGCTGACACGTCTCTGCAACATCGCGTGGCGATCGGGGGCGGTGCCAATGGAGTGGCTGACCGGGGTGGTGGTCCCTCTCTACAAGAAGGGGGACCGGAGGGTGTGTTCCAATTATCGTGGGATCACACTCCTCAGCCTCCCTGGTAAGGTTTACTCCAAGGTACTGGAGAGGAGGTTACGGCCGATGGTCGAATCTCGGATTCAGGAGGAGCAGTGTGGTTTTCGTCCCGGCCGTGGAAAACTGGACCAGCTCTACACTCTCCATCGGATACTCGAGGGTTCATGGGAGTTCGCCCAACCTGTCCACATGTGCTTTGTGGATTTGGAGAAGGCGTTCGACCGTGTTCCCCGGGGTGTCCTTTGGGGGGTCCTCCGTGAGTACGGGGTCCGGGGTCCTCTGCTGAGGGCCGTCCGGTCCCTGTATGACCGGAGCCAGAGCTGCGAGATAGGGTGAGGTTTTGGAGATAGGGTGAGGAGCTCAGTCACACGGGAGGAGCTCGGAGTAGAACCGCTGCTACTCCACGTCGAGATGAACCAGTTGAGGTGGCTCGGGCATCTGTTCCGGATGCCTCCTGGACGCCTCCCTGGGGAGGTGTTCCGGGCATGTCCCACCGGGAGGAGGCCCTGGGGAAGACCCAGGACACGCTGGAGGGACTATGTCTCTCAGCTGGCCTGGGAACGCCTTGGAGTCCCCCCGGACGAGCTGGAGGAGGTGTGTGTGGATAGGGAAGTCTGGGCGTCTCTGCTTAGACTGCTGCCCCCGCGACCCGGCAACGGATGAAGCGGAAGAAAAAAAATGGATGGCTTTGGTGTAGCAATGAGCGCTAACGCAATTCTTGCCTCGAGTTTGTTGAAACTGAAAAACAAAAAAGCAAATTTGTTTTAAAACAAACATCCACTTTATCCAGTGCCGGGTCACAGGGGCAGCAGTCAGAGCAGGGACTACCAGGCTTCCCTCTCCAAACACTTCCTCCAGCTCATCCGGGGGAATACAATACAATACAATGTATTGTATTGTATTCTGTAGTGGACTCACTCCTTCACTGTATCCAACAGATCAGTGAGTGGATGCAAAACAACTTCCTTCAGCTAAACGCAGACAAAACTGAAATGATTGTCTTTGGTCCCCAGAAACAAAGAGAGAGCGTCATCTGTCACCTAGTCTCTCTCCCTAAAACCTTCAAACAAGGTCAGATATCTAGGGGTAATACTGGACTCAGACTTCAATTTTAATAGCCACATCAAATCAGTAACATCAGCAGCTTTTTACCATCTAAAAAACATTGCCAGGATCAAAAACCTAGTGTCTAAAGCAGACTTGGAGATTCTTATCCATGAATTTGTCTCCAGTAGGTTAGACTACTGCAATGGCCTGCTCACAGGTCTGTCCAAACAGGCTGTAAAACAGCTGCAGTACATTCAAAATGCAGCAGCTCGAGTCCTGACTAGAACCAGGAAGTACGACCATATTAGTCCGGTCCTCAGGTCTCTGCACTGGCTTCCTGTGGCTCAGAGAATAGACTTTAAAACAGCTCTGCTTGTGTACAAGTCTCTCCATGGCCTCCCACAAAAATATATTAGTGACATGTTAGTCCCATATGAACCAGCCCGGACTCTGAGGAGCACAGGGACTGGACTTCTGTTAGTGCCCAGAGTCAGAACTAAACATGGGGAGGCTGCTTTTCAGATTCATGCTGCTAAAATCTGGAACAATCTGCCTGAAGATGTGAGACAGGCCTCCTCTTTTACAATGTTTAAAACCAAGTTAAAAACGGTGCTGTTTAGCTGTGCATACAACTGAGGGATTTTATATATTATATATATTCAAGTGTCCTGGATCATCACCAGCCCTTCTAGTTGGACACTAACTGCCCAACAGCCCCTCCTGCATCCTGCGGGAATCCATTGTATTCTGGGATTTTTCCTGATCTGCCCAAAATGCCTCCCCAGGAAGGTGTCCAGGAGGCATCCCAAACAAATGCCCTAGACACCTCAACTTACCCAAAGCTTACTTGTATGTGAGTCTGTATTAGCAGAAATGCAGAAAATGCAGAATCTGCTTAGGTAAAGTTGAAGGACTTTAGTTTACAGGACTTTACAAAGTTGTCAGTTCCTCAAAAACAAACCAGAGAATCAAATCGTTCAAACACAAGAAATGGAATGATAACCAAGACATAGGAGCGATTGGTCCATAGGGAGAGTAACGACCACAGTCATTTTAATAAATGGGCTGAAATGTCCTTGATCATCAGTGTCCTTAGACCTTCCTGCATTAGCAAACCACTCAAAAACCAGTGGGAATAATGTGAGAAACCTCGAGGAGTCCCATATGGAGAGAAAGATCCCTTCCCTCTGATGGACAGGCTGATCTAGGACTGAGGCTGTAGATCCAGGACTGAGCACGTAGAACAAGAACAAGAGAGCGCTGTTGGGACACAGAAGTTTGTGATATAGATCGAACATTCCCTTAAAGATCTGGGATTGAGGCCTATGGAAGGACATAAACGTTTAGAAGGATTGATTGAAAGACTTGGGCCTCATGGCGAACACTCGCACTGACGTGGTCAGCTCTGAATAACGGTGAACAGAGGGATCCAGTTCCAGTTTTTTTAATTGGGACTTATTTGGCGTTAAAGTTTACACTGCCTTTTGATTTGACCAGCTTAAGTGCTTTACAAATCGTTGTTTTGTCTCCCACGTCCGTAGGCACCTGCTCTTATCTTTGTCCTCCACATTCCACCACACCAAGGCCAAAGATGGACTCTCTTACAGACTCATCAGTATACCAGTTGTTTGGCTCACAACTGGCCATATTGGACGAGGCGGGTCAGAG